TTATAATAAATATTTTAAATTAATAAAGGTTTAATATTTAATTATTATTTTATTATATAATTTAATTAAAGTATTAAAATAAAGGAATATATTAAGGACAATTAATTTAATATATAAATTTATTTATTTATTTTTAGTTTTTTTTTTATTATACTTCTAGCTATAACTTTTATTAAAGGTTATATATTTTTTACTTTATTCCTATTTAAATATTTAAATAATAATATTTATTTATAATTTTACTTTACCTTTATTATTAATAAATAAAATAAAGTAAAATATTTTATACCTTTATAATATAAATATAACCTTAATAATTATCTTTTTATCTTTTTTTTATTTATTAAAGGTAGTTTAAACTATTTAATATAAATTTTATTTAATTATATTAAGTTATTTATATTTTATTTAATTAATACTATTAAAATATATATTAAGCAATTTATTTATATTAAATAAAAGGGGTATTCCCTTTAAAACTTAAGGTTTATTAAATTATTAAAAAGGTTATATAATAATTATATCTATCCTATTATATTATTCCCCTTTAATTAATTTATTTATAAAATAAAAGCCTTTTATAATTTAATATTAACTTTAACTTTTAACCCTTTTATTTATTATTTATTTAATTATTTACTTTCCTTTATTAATTTAATAAATTTAAAAATAAAGTTAATATAGGGTAAATCCTTTTATTTTAAACTTTTAAATTTTTATATTACTTTTATATATATATTAATAATAATATATAAATTATTTAATATTTTAAATAGGTTATTATATATTATTTATATTTATTTTTTAAATTCTTTTTAATTATTTATTACTTTTTTAACCTATTATTAAATTTAAATATATATAGCTTTAAATAGCTTAAAGTATATATATAAAATTTTATTAAATTTATTAAAAAATACCCTTTAATTTAATATAAGTTTTAGCTATATTTTTAATTATTAAATTATATATTTAACTTATTATTTATTTAAATTTAGTTTTAACTTATTAAATATTAAAGGTTCCTTTTTTTAATTCTTTTTATATTTAATAATATATTATTAATAATTTAATATTAATATTATAATATTAAATCTTTATATAATAAATAAACTTAATATAATTTTTAAATTTATTTAAAAGGTTAATAATAAAGGGAAGGGGTTTAATAGAGCTAAAAGGGTTATAATTAATATTAAAGTTTAAATTATTATTAATTAAGTTTTTTTAAATAAGGTTTAAAACGTTAATAAAATAATAGCTTATTAATTATTATTTATTTATATTTAAATAAATATTATTATTTATTATTATAAATTCCTTTTAATATTTTTTATTATTTAAAGTTTATTTATTAATATAATTTTTAAAGTTAAAACTTTAATATAAGTTTACTTTATTATATTTATTTATTATTATATTAAATTTTAATATATTTTATATTTAATATCTTTTTATTTAAATTTCTTTATTAATATATTTATATATATATTTTTTTAAAGTAATAATTTAAGGTATTATATTTATTATATAAAGTAATAGCTATTAAAAGAATTATTAAAATTATTTTAAAATATTTATAAATTTTTATAATATATCCTTTAAAATTATAATATTTAAGTTTAAATTTTATAAAGCTATTATAATTATTAAATAACTATTAATAATATTAATAATTATATACCTATATATAGGAAGTTTTATTAGGGTAAAAATGCTAAAGGTTAAAGGTCCTAACTTTATAATATTTTAAAGATAAGTTTAAAGTATTTATATAAGTTAATCCTTAAAGAAGGATATTGCCTATTTTTTAAATGTAATAAACTATTATAATATTGCCTAGCTATAATTTTATATATTTGTTCTATTATTGTATAAGGAGGGAAGTTCTAGTTTTCGCCCCTTATTCCCTTTCCTAGCGTTATATACAATATTCCTTAATCCATGCTATATATCGGAAATTAGGCTTCCTTGGTTCCGTGATAGATTCCTAGCAAGCGCACATTCCCCAGCTCGTTTAATAACCCGCTGCGAACGCCCCCTCCTCCAATGCCGGTTCTCATTTGTCCTGGCGCGCCACGCAAGGGAAAGGTAAGCGAGTTACGCCGCACAAGCCCCTTCACAGCTGATTTCGATGAGGACGTACTGCTCGATCGAGAGGCGATTGAACGAGCTCGAAAAGACATATCTCCGCCGGATGTCGGTGGCTACGTCACTCCTCCTGGTAGACTTTCGCCCCTGCGAAATAGCTGGTCTGTTGACCAGTCAGCCGATAATATAGTGCAGCTGCAACCATTTCTCGACCGGCTTGCTCTCCGCAACGGAGGGGGAGGGGCCGGTTCGAAGAAGACCGTGCGCTTTGGAAATGGTCGGAAACCTAGAGTCGGAGCGATCGGTTCAGGCGGCTATAGCTTAGAGCACAGGGAGAACGACAAGTAGCTCTTTTGGACGGATCGTGACGCTCTCTAGCCCTCTAAGCTACTATAACTCTTGAATCATACATAGACAAAACTGGCTTCAAGCTTCAAAAAAGAAAAAAGAAAAAAAAAAAACTAGTTGGTTCCTCTATAATAATAAATACTGCTTGAACTCATATCTACTGAATTTATAAATTAATTTCCCTGAAATAGAATATTTGAAGAATTTTTCAAGGAGGTTTTCCATGCGTAATGAAGATATAGTAGATATATGCCGTGAGCTATCTACATTGGTGGGAGAATAACAGCGTCAAATCTAGCACTCGATTTGTCTCTTATGTATAAGTTCCAATCTATGCCGTAGATATTAACACTGCTCATTGCAACAGATCGTGTATAAATCGTCTTTCAATATGTTGTCATCTTATCATAAAGTTAAACTTTGTGATTCGTGTGCATGAATGAGTATCTGGTACCTAATTCTAAAAACGCTAAATGGCCTCTATGTAAGTCGTGTGACCCATATGTTCGTAACTACCGAATCCTTGGTTGTCTAATATAGCCAATCTTAGCATTCTCATGCTACTATATCGCGAGAAGCGCCGACAAACATCGCCGGACGAGGTAACCGAAGTTGTTTCCAGACAACGTCAGTTCCTCTAGCATGGCGATCCGTTGGTAAGAATAGACTTTGCCTGTTGGGCGTACTACAATTTTCCAATGTCAGCAATTACCCAGTCAAAGCTTGCGTAAATGAACACATACATTGCAGTTATTAATTACGTTAGAGTCCGAAAAGCCAGCGGACCACATCATAATACCACTAAACCTATCGTGGCTCTTATATTCGCTCACAATGTCGGACAACTGCTCAGGGGTTGCATAGTACGTCTCGCCGGTCGGAGAGCCATTAGCAGCCAGGGGAGCAGCTGGTACTCCGATGAAGAGCTTGGCGTCGGCCGAGGGGGTACCCGCGGTATAAGATACCCAGTCGTCGTAGTTGAAGGGGGCATTGCCATTGATGGGCAACGCGCAGGGAACAGTGTAGTTATTGTTGTTATAGAACTGGGGCCAAAGGTAGTCAAACTTGGCGTTATCGATCAACACACCCATATTCGGCTCAGGAATTGGGCATTGGGGGGCGCCGGTAATGTAATATGTGTTGGCCGCATCAGACTCGAAGCCCTCGCGTAGGGCGGAAATCATAGCTGGATAGTACTCGTTTCCATTGTTCAGTTCGAGATCGAACTCGAAGCCGTTGACAAAGGTGTCACCGAAGGGTCTCTGAACATCCGTAGCGCCAGAGTTTCCGTATGCTTTCCATATGTTGGTGCCGATAGTCGCGGCCTCTTCTTCAGAGCTCAGCGAGTAAGAGCCAACGGCACCACCCAGAGATAAGATGATCTTGACCCCGTTGGACTGGCATGTTGAGATAGCCGAGGCCAAAGCCTCACAATTCTGACCCTCTCCCGCGTGGGTGATGAAGCACGATTGGCCAATAGTACCGGATGGGATGTCATTCCCCATGCCAAAGGAGTATAGGAAAGCTAAGACGATGATATCGATGCCCGCCTCTGGCGTACAATAAGCTGAAAGATCATTATTTTCGACTACAGACTTGATGTTAATGATTATTCGAAGATAGCTGAAGTCGTTTGAATAATGACTCACTCGTGCCTCCTCCATTCTGGCCCCAATAAGAGACAGTCTGTGGAGCGTCTTGACGGGGTGTAAGAGAATGATGAGGGAGAGCAGCAGCCAACCCGGCCAAAAGGCCAAAGGATGTTGACAATGAAGCAAGAACCATTTTGAAGGATAGTATAGGTTGAAATTGCTTATGGAAAAGAACGGAATATATTTACAAGAAATGGAAGGTCCCTCAAGGACTTACTATCTAACTTGATTGTGGTAGTCGAGGGAGAAAAGGCAGTTTTCAGATGACCTTCGTCGCGTATCTATAGTCGAGAGCAGACCATAGCCCTTCGTCGTCTTGTCACATTGCCTCCTCGAACACCCGCGCCCACACTGCCTCGAACATCATCGTGAACATGAGAGACGTTACATTAGCTTTGAGCTTGAGGATTACCGTTGTTTTACTGATAGGCTGTCTTCCAAATTCCTAGTATAGAGTTCCCTAAAAGGGCCTAGTTCCAAGTTGAATGATGATTCTTCACTTTCTAGCAAGTACGGCGAAATAAAGAGATAAAGATAGAAGCTCTAAATTGGAAATTCTTGAGGCGATCTGAAAGCTGTCAAATACATCTAATAGTTACATGAAAGAGTAGTTGCTACTGGATAAGGCTGGTGACTACTCGCATGAATGCAATATACCTACTTTGGGAGGAGGAATCGGCATAATGGTGGAGGTGGCGCCTTATTTCATCTACAAGCTACGTCGATCACCAAGGAATGAAAAGGCTTAATATCGGTATTGGATCCCTGTTTCAGGGAATATCTCGACGATCGGCAGTAACGTCGTGCCATGGGGTATCATCCTTACTCCCATTGTTGCAGTTATCAGAGCGACGTAGTGCAAACAAGCCGGCGGTTCGTGAGGTATCAACGATAGCACGTTCCTGCCATAAGGGTAATCGGAGACTATCGGCGTTATAAGAGAGCTGGCAAAGCTAATTGGCTACGGATCCCAGTGTAGCATCGGTCCACTTTACCAGGAACAGGAATACCGAACCAAACTTAGCAACCTGCCTATTTGCTTCTTAGCTAGGATTAGACGATAGCGTGCAAAAAGGGCAGGTCGGTGACAACCTACTTCGCGATGGTTTGAACGCCTTCATTAGTTCATTGCTGTTAGGGAAGTTCTTCGCTTTAACTTGAATAGATCCGTTGTTGAAATGGCCAAGCAGGTGTCCGCATCCTATACTATCATATACTAGACTACTGATATTAGAGAAATCAGCAACGAAAGAGTCACTAAAATAACGTCAAATGTTAAGCAAGTCCAATATGGTCTGTCTCCATTAGCATCACGCAAAGGGGCGTAAGAGAAGGTTTCACCTAGCATTGACCGAGCTTCGATTTAAGTGTCAGCATCAATTGATGGAAGATTGCATTGCTATAGGTAAAGTGGATAGGTAAAGCACCTTTGTGGTTTCTAAGGCTTCTCTACGCCAGCCTAACACCCGCCTCTCGTCGTGTACGAGTTTGATGGGCAGCAGCTGAACTCATGCCAACATTCTGACTCGCGTCCAATACACTTTGGGCCTCATGTCGTTTCTCATCTTCGATCTTCTTCAATCGTTTATCTGTCTTGCCCTTCCCTGATCCTTTTCCATGGAATGCGTGACTTAGATGTTTGAAAGCATCTTTTTGGCCTAGTAGACGGCCGTCTTCGTCGACATACTTGAGATCAACGCTCGGTTTGTAGTCCTTATTAAACAATTCAGCTAGTTGCCGGGAAGTCTGTTGGTCTCGGATATTATTTTGCTGGCGGGCCCATTGCTCGCGTTCTTGGACCGACATGCGGTCCAAACGACCACCTTGGCGGTCTCGCTCACGCTGATGACGTGTGGCTTGTTCAATTTCTTCCAACCGCCTGCGCTTCTCGGCGAGAAACGATTGTTGATGACGGAAACTTTCGTTCAATTCGCCTGACCCTGCATTATCGACAAGGCGACGCTCCCTCAGAAGTTGGAGAGCCGCGCCGATACCCGTGCCAATGGTCTTTTCTTCGTCTACGCCAATTGCAGCTGCTTCTCCTTGTGCAGGTGACTCCTGCTTGACTTGCGCTTCATCGGCGTCATCTCCATCCTTCATCGGCTCATCTTCGTCTAATTCATCTTCCATGGCTGTGATCGCCTGGAGCTGAGGCGATTTCGCTCTCTGCGCCTTGCGCTCTTCAATGTCCTCTTTTGTCAGGCCTGAAACAAATTCGGAAATTTCATCAATGACGAGTCCACCATCCTGGTTTTCTTTGGCACTTGTCTCCTCGTTGTGTACTTCCTCGCGTAGTTGGCGTGCAATATCCTGTGGGCGGTTCTTCTTTCGCTTCTTCAGAGCCTCACGCCTTTGTGCAGCTAAAGTTGCTTGTAAATCCTCATCGTCGACGAACCCAGCATCCTCAATTGTACGTTTTCGGCTGATAAATTCAGCGCCTGAATCAATGTCCATAGATTGATCTTCAACTGCCTGGGCTGGGAAAATTTCATCCTCATCTACAGGTCTTTGCCTAGTAGACTTGGACTTCTTTTTCTTGGGCTTCTTAACCTTGATCTCGGAGGCATCTATATAGTCCGAAATCGGCTGCACCTCATCCAAAAAGTCGAGATTAATCTTCTGAATGTGTGAAGTCTCTTGTTGCCCTAGTGTTAAGGTAGGCTGTTTCGTGTTGCCTTGTCCATCTAGTGTGAAACGTTTGACCTTCTTGCCACTGATCTCCTCGTCGTACTGAGAGAGGATATTCTGTTCGCTAGTGTCGTTGATATCGTTGGGATCGTAAACAAGCTTCTTCTTTTTCAAGTTGAGTTTCTCGTTCAGCTTCTCACGTTCTAGTAGCTGCACATTCTCTAGTTCGTCGCCCTCGTCATCGTCTGCCAGAACATCTCTATCAGCAAGTGTGAGAATTTGTTCGTCGCCGTCCTCAAATGCATCCATTTCATGTCGCACTTTGACACCTGCAAGGTCTTTTGATGTGTACTCAGCAGCGGCAGCTGCCGCTGCCTTCGCAGCTTCGGACTCTTCATCCTCTTTCCGAGATTTCTCGATCTTTTTCTGTCGCTTCTTCTGACTGATCAGCCATGACTTAGCGTCTGTATCGTCATCTCCATCGGCTTCTCCGAGACCCTTCCCTTCTAAGTATTCGAATCGTTTCGCCGCGTCGCGCGCCTTTTTGATAGCCGCAGCCTTTTCTTCGCGCCGTTTCTTCGCAATTTCAGCGTCCTGAACTTTTCTATAGTTGTCGTATGCAGCAGCTTCTCGAGTCTCAAGAGTACTTGCGGGTTCCCCATCTTCGGGAGGAGGGGATTTCTCTTTGAATTGTGGACCGGCTGCTCCAGGAACAGGCAAGGGCTTCATGCCGAGGGAGACCCGGAGACGGTTTGTCTCCTCGATCGAGGCGGCGTCCATTTTGGGATGAGGGTATTGTCTATCGCAATATCGTATATATTTATCGGTAATCGAAAATCAAGGATGCGTATGTTGATGGTGTGACTGATGAAAAGATTGTAAATGTCGTATTGTCCTACGCGCGGATCTGTATATGCAAGCATACCTGAGGTAGGTAGAGTTAAAGGTATTCAAGCCACGTTCCAGCCACAGATAGTTCCCCTACTTGGGTTAGGTACCTATCCGCTATCTATATGTACGCCACAAATATGGGTCATGCGGGTTGCTGGGCTGCCGGGCAGGGTCCTCCCCCACTTTGAAGTATCTTAGTACCTATTTAAGCTGCCAAAAAAATTTTGCTTTATCCAACTTCCCTTCCTCTTCTTTCAACTACCGACCTGTGCCCGACCGTCCTCTGTTCGCACCGCGAATTCAGAGTTGATGGTCGAGGCAGCTCGATTTCTTATGGAATCATCCTTCTCACCATGGTGTCAGTCCAAATCACAGGTCGTAGAGTAACCAGTTCAGCGTGCCTGAGCTCGCCGCAAGGCTGGGCTCGGCACTTTGCATCTGGAGACCGTATATTCCAAAACCACAGCTGAGATCTTTGATTCATGAGGTGGGGGAAAACCATACGATGTCTACACATCTGCTTCATCATTACTTCTTTTCTTCGTGCTCAGCCTGAAGCTACCGCTCCCGTCCAATTCGCATCTCTTGTAGAGAAGTATCAACTGTTATGCTTGATAAATCTTCACATGGCGAAATGCGGTCGAACTGCCATAGGAGAGTGCAAACAACAGCACCCTTCCGCTTCCACTAGGATACTGTAGGTACGATACTAGACATAAACTTTTGAGAGTGTTCTCTAGAAGACGTATACGGGACTGGTACTTCGCATACTACTACTGCTTGTGCATTTATACTCAGCTTGAGTCTGTCGGCACTTCTGAATCTGTGAAGTGTCAAGACCCACTTGTCGTTGTCCACAGACCTCGAGAATCGTCCAATCGCTGGTTAGTTGGGTTGATTCGGAGGACAGTGATGGCAAACGTGCATGTTCGGTGAGCTAAGCCTCATCACCACCCGCACCAACGGTGTACACGAGTCACAATTAGTTAGGCAGGGCTCTGCTTCTGCATCTCTATCAAGCATGCACCCAGCCACGAATCTTTCCAGGACGATCATCACACGAAGCATCACAGCCTACTGGACAGGAATCTTTTGTTCGACATTCAAACATAGCGGACTTGGCTTCCGAGGAGCAAACGTATATCCCTTTACCTAGTTTTCATCAGTTGAGCTGCAGAGCGCGGCAAGGATGTAATCGTAAAACCCTGATCCCTAGGGAACGGCTTTGCATTCCGTTTGGCAGGAAATTGTTATAAGAAACTTCATCCTGCAAACGTGTCAAATGCTCTGCTCTAATTGGCTTTACACCTTTGTTTAGTGTACTTGGCGTTCCGAAGGTGAAGTCGTTTCCAGAGGGATACCGATAAGATCTTTCCGGCAAGTAACGACATGAATCACGATGTTTAGCTCTACCTATCTCATATAGTGCATGACTGACACTTATTTAGGTATATTTAGTGTCCCGAGGCAAAAGTACCGCTAGGCTAACAGCGTGAGTAGCACCGAGGTAGTCTTCGTACTTACCACACACTACATTTGACGTCTTGAATGCGTATAATGCATATTTCTCATCTAGCTGCGATAGTATCGTATAGACTCGACTGTGTATGTTAAAAGGCTCGAACGTAATCATGTTCAACTTATATTTACCAAGTAGCCCCAGCAACCCTGACCCCACCCCCTTCCGAACCCAGAGCCGAGCTGACCTAATCATGCCTTTGGACTGCAGATGATCTGTAGTTCCCTCTGACTCGTTCCTGGCAGTTGGTTCCATTACCTTATTGTTGGTTTGGTCTGCATATTTGATAGGATTTGCTGGCTCTCTCGTATCCAGTCATCTAGACTCCCATAACACTGGAAGAGTATAGTTCTCATCAATAGCTTCACGTGAGCACGACGTTCTTGGCAACCTGAGGGTTTTTCATCTTCAAGATAAATTCTCGCTGCTTTCTCTAAGAAATAGCGCATAGTGATATAATAGCTGACACTGCAGCTAACATGCGTGATGTTAATCAGCCAACACTAAGGAAGTTAAGTAGCAAAGTACCCGGGATTTACCTCGTGATCCGAGTTAGGTGGCTGCAGCCTAACTGTACTACAGATGAAACTATTGATGCGAAAACTCCCATTGAATCTAATTGGGGATTACGAGGCTTGCCCTCCGTCGTGCATAGTAGAACATAACGATACTGTTGTATTTATAGCCTGAGCACAGTCGCACAACAGCTGCGTCACCAAGCGCTGCTGAGGCTGTGATAAACCGGGAGAGTTCCTCGGTTATCAGCGCGTGTCAGTGTGTGCAATAGATTAGAAATCCGTCGCCTTGATCTCTAAATAGACTCTTTGATCACTGTTTCATCTCTCTTCGTCTACACGAGACCGTCGACCTACTTCTTTGATAACATGATGGAATCGGCAGAGAATCAGCAACTAATACCTGAGGGTGAGGTGCTTCATACAAATTTGGATACAGTCACTCCATCTGGTACAAACTTTAACTTCGGGCCTCAAATCTACCAGTATGCATCATCGCGGGGCCATTTACGCGAGAGCAGCCAGTTATCAAATATCTCTGACCAGTCTACAATTCCGCGAAAATCGTTGAATTCGGAAGCAGCGCTCCTAAGAGCCCCATTGCACACAGCACATTATATAGCACCGACACGAAATACGGGCTGGGTATGGGAGTATTTCGCGTTGGCTCTAAGTGCGAGCGCAGTGACCGCATTAATAGTCCTACTTGCCTACATGAACGACTTGCCCCTGTCTCATTGGAAAGCAATAGTCTCTCCAACCACAACAGTGTCTATTCTTGCAGCCACTATTAGAGTTTCTCTAAGTTTCGCCATTAGCTCTTGTCTTGGCCAAGCTAAGTGGACCTGGTTCAAAAAACAGCCAGACAAGTTACTAGCCTTCAAAAGATTCGATGATGCGAGCCGAGGGCCGTGGGGAAGTTTCTGGTTGATTATTTGGGTTAAAGCGCTGTAGTACAGACATGGTTTTTATATAAGCTTTGTGATTGTTAGCTAAAATCCTATGCCCAGTCACATTGCTGCAATCGGTGCAGCTGTCACAATACTCCTCCGTAAGCAGTTCATGAAACTCAGTACTTTCACTGGCATATTTGAGGGCATCATAACTCTTATGATGCAGACTTGGATCCTGTCCTAGGTCCATGAGGCGGTTCTGGTCATGCAAGGCTTGTTCATAACCACTGACTAAATGTAAATTAGTGGCTTTTGAACCGTCATTTCAAGCCATAATCACTTTTGACTGTAGGATAGATTCATCGGATGCTGAGTTAGAGGCCCTTCTCGGCCGTAGCGAATTCCTCGACACTGGCACATATTATGCATACGAGGGGATTTCAGGGGCAATAGCTATATCACCCAACACAACGGTCACCATCGTACCGTACGTTTCACAGCCAGATTTGGGTCTGGTATCCGGTATCAATAGCGGTTTCTATAATCTTTCGTCAGCGAAGAGACAGACAGCGTCTTTTGCATGTCCTACTGCCAACTGCACCTGGACCGCCTTCACTACACTGGCTGTGTGTAGCGCATGCAATGATGTAACGAGCTCCATCAAGCGGCACCGGGAAGAAGCCAATGATATCGGCACGCTCAAACATCACGACATGCAGATATACACGAACTGGACAATCAACGCATTGCCACGACTCAATCTTACCAACATGAGCACGGCGGAAGACGACACTGGACAACTCACACCTGCGTACATGTCAGCCACAAGACTCGTCAATCATCAGCACACAATAACGTTTCAGAATCTCAGCACCATGATGACGGCAGTGCAGATCATAAAGGCTTCGGATGAATACATACATGGCAATATTCCGTGGGACGATTCGCCAGTCACTGCCATAGAATGTGCTCTTTATTTCTGTGTCAATGCCTATAAATCTCATGTCGTGCAAGGAGAACTCGAAGAAGAACCCATCGCGAGTTGGTCCGAGCGCGACCCAAATTCGTTCGCTGTCACTGACACCTCCCTGGCTTCTCCTGAAGTGTTGGAAGAATGGGATCGATGGAACAACTATTCACTTTATAGCGATTATGGAGACGCACAACGAAGCGATCTGAAACTTTTTATACCTCACAATGACCCTCTGCCTTTTGGATTACCAGAAAATGTCACGACAGTATTCACCTTGACGCAACGCGCCATTGGTAGTACCTTGCACTTTATAAATGAAGACTTCTTCTCCGAGACTATGGTGTGGCCTCTCCAAGGGGACGGATTAGGGAGGGGGGCGCCGCCAGTCGTTCAAGCGTTATATCAGAGTACCAACATCTCAGAAACGTTCCAGAAAGCATCACAGAGTATAACAAATTGGATACGCGACACCTCGAACGCAACACATGTCGGTACAACGCAAGAATGGACTATCCGGATCCACATTGAGTGGCCATATATCGCTGCGCCATTGGCAGCATTCATAGCAGGTCTAGTATTTTGCGCATTTTCTATCGCTGAAACCCACAAGCTTGGCCTCGATGCCTGGAAAACCAACATGATTGCTGCACTAACACATTCCGTCGATGCCGAGACACGTGCACAGCTCAGGTATGCTTACAGGCACGGGTTCTTGGACAAGGCAGTCAACGCAATGAGTGTAAGACTTGAGGATGCTGGTCACGGGCTAGAGCTCAAAATCAAACAGACCTGATTTGGAAATCGGAATTAAGCCGAAATACCAACACCTGGATGTAAATCGAATCCGCAAACGCTTAGCTGTGCAAAATAGGCCCGAATCAACCCTCTGCAAGAGCGGCTCCCTCCCACCGAAAAGCCAGGAAGTTTTGGAAGGCAAATGCTATACGCTAGCCACGGCTCATGGGTATTATAACAACCTCTTTCTTGGCTGGTGAAGGCTATGATCATCGTTGCAGCCATTCTACTTTCGTGTCTTCAGCATGTGACACTAATCAATTGAACCAATATCCTATTTACGATATTGTAACTCTAGAAACACTGACCAGCTCGATAATAAAAACGTCTACATGCAAGATCGTCAGCTCAGGTCATACTTGGTCACGGCAGAGCCCTGATAAATCTAACAGTTGCAACAGAAATATGTAATTCAGGAAAACGAAAAAAAAAAAAAAAAAAAAAAAAAAAAAGAAGGAAGGAGATTTGAATAAAGGCTTTTCTCACGTCTTGACTATGAAACATTTGAGTTAGACCTCCCGACCTCCTACTTACTAGGCATAAGTTCCGTGCTCAAGTTATGAGGATACTACTCCACTCAACTCGTCTAAAGGGCCGAGTTGGCTATCTCAGCAAAGATTTATCTCAAGCCAAGAGCTTGGGGGGTTTTGGCGGGCTTACTACTGCCCACACTGTGTGCTAAGGCTAGGCATCGTGGGCGGCATGTCTATTATCTGTCAGCCCCATGAGACGGAGTTGCGCTTTCGGGGTAAAGTAGGCCACTGCTAGGCCACTAGACGTCACACCCCCAGATCTGCCCGGACTCGCTTGCTGCTGTAGCGCAACCCCCCGCATAGCTGCCCCGCATCGCGACCACTAGCCGAACCGAACCAGGCCCATGCCGATGCACTCTCCCCGGATTCCACTTCCTAATCAAGGCTGTCATTGGCAACGGCCAGAAGGGACCACCTAGCAGCGGCCCGACTCAGGAACAGACAGCTTATATCGATAGACCTATATGCCAGGTTCCCGCCTTGCAGCCTGTGCCCACACCAGCTCGCCCCTCGAACACCCATCACAACAGTCACAACACCCAAGGAACTCATCTCATCCGCGGTGGGCGACCAGGTCGGGGGTTCGACTCTGGATTCGGGGCGACACCGCCTAAGATTGCGCCATAGCGCGGAGCCGGGCAAATTCACAGCTGGAATCGGCCCTTTGGAAATAACCTCCAACGCACGGCCACCTTACCCGAGGTCCCACGACTTGGCCTATCCGAGGCCGCCTCGCGCCTTCTCACGATGCCCTCTCCGGCCTCAGGGGGGAGTATATAAGTCGACATGGAAGTCATCCAGAATGCCACTTCAGCACTCGTCACCGTCAACAGCAGTCAGCTCATACAACCCGCCATGTATGCTCTCTCGTCTTTCGTGCTTCTCGGCAGCTGTGCCTTCCAATCGGTCTTTGGCCGACCTGATGTGTCGCGCGCGCGACGCGAAGGAGTGCTGCTCCAGCGCGCCGTGAATGACTTCATCGCCACCGAGGAGAAGATCGCCATAGATCAGCTGCTGTGCAATATCGGTTCCGGCGGCTGCAATTCACAAGGCGTGGGCTCTGGACTGGTCATTGCGTCACCCTCCAAGTCTGAACCTGACTGTAAGTAGTCCGGACTATGTATCAGCATCAACTTACTCACTTTCTTGGTAGACTGGTATACCTGGACCCGAGACTCTGCACTTGTCTTCAAGGCCGTAGTCGAAAGATTCGCCAACAAGTATGATGGATCTCTCCAGACGGAGATTGTCAACTACATCATTTCACAGGCTAAGCTGCAAACCGTTTCCAACCCATCCGGTGATTTGTCAGACGGTAGAGGTCTTGGCGAAGCCAAGTATCATGTCGATGGATCTGCTTTCACCGATGGTTGGGGGCGTCCGCAGCGTGATGGCCCAGCTCTTCGGGCTATTACCAGTAAGTAAACCGCGAATATTTTTACTACTTTCTTGGGGGAAATTACTCAGTGGACTCATAAACCAAAGAAAATATTTATGGTAAACCGCTAACCTCGAGTGTTTAGTGATTGGATATTCGAACTGGCTGATAGCGAATGGCTACACCTCAACAGCTAATAGTCTCGTCTGGCCTATCATTCGCAACGATCTTACTTACGTTGCGCAATACTGGAACCAAACTGGGTTTGATTTATGGGAGGAAGTGAACGGCAGCTCGTTCTTCACTGTTGCGGCACAACACCGTGCCTTGATCGAAGGCAGCGCTCTTGCCAAGACTCTGGGATCAAGCTGCAGTGCTTGCGATGCCATCGCGCCTCAGGTTCTGTGCTTCCTACAGACTTTCTGGTCTCCCTCCAGCGGATATGCGCTCGCCAACATTAACGTCAACAACGGCCGATCCGCCAAAGACGCAAACGTAATTCTGGGATCCATTCACAACTTTGATCCAGCCCTCGGCTGTGATGCTGCAACTTTCCAGCCATGCAGCGACCGGGCCCTGGCTAGCCACAAGGTCATTGTGGATTCATTCCGCTCCATCTATACCATCAACGCGGGCATCCCCGCCGGCTCTCCTGTTGCAGTAGGCCGATACCCTGAAGACACATACTACAACGGCAACCCGTAAGTAGACACAAGATTCTGAATCAAGCAGCGGCACTGACACCTGTATAGTTGGTACCTGAACACGCTTGCGGCGGCTGAGCAGCTGTACGACGCGCTCTACGTTTGGCAGACCAGCGGCTCCATTGCAGTAACGTCAACTTCTCTGCCGTTCTTCAAGGCCCTTGTGCCTTCCGTAACTGCCGGCACATATGCGTCAAGCTCTGACATGTATGCAACGATATACAATGCCGTATTCCTCTACGCCGATGGATTCGTCGACAAGGTCTCGCAATACGCGCAATCGAACGGCTCAATGGCTGAGCAGTACGACAGAAACACTGGCGCCCCCCTATCTGCTCGAGACTTGACCTGGTCCTATGCCTCTTTCCTAACTTGCGTGGCCCGCCGCGCAGGCGTTGTGCCAGCAGGATGGGCTGGCACGAACCCAGCAGCGACCTCAGTCCCAGGTGTCTGTCGCGCCACGTCTCAGGCTGGATCCTACTCGACCGTATCTGTCACGGCCTTCCCCGCAAGCCAAACCCCCAACGGCGAGGTAACTCCATCAGTCTCATTCACGATTCCCACAGCCACGGTTTCAAGACCTTCGACGACAAGTGGAAGTTGCTCACAAGCGACGGCTGTCTCGATGTCCTTCACAGTCCGCAAGGTTACGAACTATGGCCAGACCGTCAAGATCGTCGGCAACACAAACCAGCTCGGTAACTGGGACACGAGCAAGGCAGTGGCTCTAAGCGCTTCGCAATATACCTCGAACAACCCCATATGGTCCGGCACGGTCACACTTACACCCGGCCAGAACTTCCAGTACAAGTACATCGTGGTCAACACGGATAACTCCGTCGTCTGGGAGGCGGATCCTAACCGCTCGCATTCTGCTCCTTCCGGATGCACTTCGACATCAACGAGGTCTGACACCTGGCAATGAAAAGCGAGTAAGGGCCTCGGTAGTCACATAGTATGAGTATGTTATGTTACCTGAGGCGAACTGAGATTTGGTTAGCGTAAACCAATAACTCGTGTAGGAAAGTTGTTAAAGATAGAGTTTGAGATCGGGATCTATATACCTACCTACCTACCTAAAGATCACGTCCCTAAGCCGATTTTATATAAATAGCAGTAAAGCCTTGAATTCCAGTCTCTATTTCAGGAATATAGTTCTTCTTTTCATCTTACTAATTAGTGAGCGTCATGTTACTCTCGTAATCTCCTCCAACTTCCGCATAAGCGTCTCCACAGCCCACTCAAACGTAACCTGCATATCAACATCAAGTTTAACACCATCGCCCTCTCCTCCACCTCCCCTTCCGACGACCCCCGGAAGCGCCAGGATATTCTTCTGCGCGAGAACCTCCCCATCCAACGCCTTCTCGACGTCCCCGTCCTCGAAGAGCCAGGCGTGCGACGCGGCGTAGTTCGGCCACACGATCTTGTCCACGTAGCCCGGGGGATCGGCCCAGAAGCCCTCGAGCGTGACGTAGCCGTCGCGCGCGTCGCGGCGCGCCGTGGCCTTCTGCCGGCTCACGGTCAGGAGGAGCTTGATGTCCAGGAGCTCGTCCGTGATGCGCTGCAGCGGCGGGTCGGGCCCGAAGAGCAGGAAGCCGTCTAGGATGCAGAGGCGCAGGTTTGCCGAGGAGGGGGACGGGAAGATCGCGTGTCCGGGCTGTCCTGGTGCTAGCCATGCTTCTACGCGGGATCTGGCGGCGCTTATGGCGGATTCCGGGACCGTGCACTGTCCTACTGAATTTTGATCTTCTTTGGAATCGACAAAGGGCTGCGCGTGGGAGTTAGTAATTGGGGTTTTAAGATATTTCAGTCTTCAGATTATCGATACTTCTATGTTTTCTTTCTTTACTACTGTTGCCAGGTCTCGGTCTCCGGTCTCATTTTAGATTCGTAACTTTTTCGCCCTCATGAAAGGGTGGTTTACTCATACGAGTACTTGAGTGATGGGAGGCTTCCCCAAAGGATCATTACCCGTGGGATGAAGAGCCGCGAGAACCAACTTACAGGAAACGTGCCCTCGGCACATATATGTTCTAGCGCCCTCGCCATGTCGTCGAAGTTGATGGCTTCAGCACAGTCCCAATCGAGAAGATCGTGCTTGGTAGGAAGTCTATTCAGTGAATCAGTATGTGACCAACACGAACTAACATATTTAGAGCCCATGAAATGACCGGTTTCATCAATTCTTGAAATATTTCTCTACTTACTCGGTTTCGGGCCGGTAGAAGTCATCTTCGTGTAAGATGAAGGTATGAGGGAAGACATCGCGCAGCAGCCGGGCAAGCGTTGTCTTGCCGCTCGACGAAGCCCCGCTGATCCCCACGACGATCGCCTTACGGTTGGTGTTTGTCATTAGAACGACCCTATACTCCTATTAAACGAGGTTTATTTTAATCAGAATCGAGTAAATAACATTGCTCAGATGAAATAAATCTCGTCGGAACTAATAGCTCCGGTGTGGTATGTGAGAAGTAAGAATTTCGGCGGGTACAAAGGTGAGAAAAGCGGAGACAGCCTGTTTAACGGCCGCGGGGTCGGTCTTCATTCACGTCCGTTTTCATCACATTAGTCAAAAGTACCCCGGTATATCTATCAATTCGGCTCACTATTTCTCAAACCATGAGCATTCACTTCTCACCCAACCGAGGTATCATAAGTATCATAAGACATGAGATTTTCCTTGCTTATTAGAAATACGTTATTAGGCAACTCAACGCGCCGACTATAACCCAGGCTGTTGAAGACATCGGAGTCAAAATAGTTACTTATACACAGCAATCAACCAAACGTAACTCCCAAATACACTTCTATGTATACTTTGAATGAAGCTTTTTCATGATGGACATTGCGCCGCTCCTATAACCTCCGCCAAACAGCGACCAGTGGTTTAAATGATGATATCTAGGTAAAAGGTCAGCAAGACATTCCTCAGTGTCAATAGAGGAGCACATACAACTCATACAGGGCAACGCGATCTTCCCACTCCTCTTTGGGCTCGGCTTTCGGTACCAAGCTCTCATATTCTTTCCAAAAATTACCGCCAAAGCCCCCAAACATTCGCATTATCCCAAGCTCATATTCCGAATGTCCATAGACGCACGAGGGGTCGAAGACAACCTCCTCCACGCCCCCCTTGCCCGCGATCCGCCCCCGCCCGTGGTTTCCACTCCATAAGTCTCCATGGATTACCACGGGCTGCACGCCCTTCAGATGGTCATCCCCAAGTAACCGTGGGACGACCACGTCGGCAGTCTTCTCCACAGCCTCGGAAAGCTCCGCATCGACACCATTATTCTTGATACCGCTGCCAAGAATGGCGCGTAATCGGTTGTTGGCGTAAAAGTCAGCCCAAGATGACTTCCAGTCGTTTTTCTGGGGGGATGCTCCACAGCAGGTGGTTACAGGAAAACCGTACATGCGCTTGTCGAAGCCTTCGGGAATTGGCGCAGGTGTTGTGTGCAGGCGGGCTAGCTTGCGAGCTAGCGTCTCACCTGAACCGCCTGGTGCAGACGAGTTGAGGTCTAGAAAGTCGGTGGCCATGAAGTGTTTATTCTGGCTATCCCTAAAGGGGCCATGGGCATAAGATCTGGGGCAAAAGCCCGGGACGACCTTGGATATGGCATTAAGAGATTCGTGCTCGCCTATCGCATGGGTAAGTAAGCATGAGTGCTGGGTAATTCCTCAGAATGATTTGCAGCCAGTAGAAAAATCTCGGTTCCGAACCATCAAAACTCACCCTGGAACATCAATGCGGCATCTTCTCCGGTCCCAGTCTTCACGAAATAGTTGATATCTTTACCATTGACGGTCGAGCTCAGCTTAAAGGTTGCCGCAAAGCCTGACCCTCCATGGGAAGTGATCTTCGTCGTGTTGGGGTCCAGCCCCAAGGCCTCTATGATCGCAGGATCGACATTGGAAGCCATGCTTGATAGCGCGTCAAAGGTATATATATATTGGTCCGATATCCCCGTGATACTCGGTGTCGATTTGAGAGCGCTTATTGCGCGATAAACGAGCAGTGGCTTGGATTGGTATTCAGCATCTGACGTCACCCCGCAATTACTCTGAGCACTGAGATATGTCACTGGTTAATGATCACGTAATACCAAGTGCTTAAGGTAGCCAACAGAAAGTAGTTGAGAGAATGGCAGCTGCCTATATCGCGTGCAAAACAACGCGAATTGTCCAATATGATAATTTACTTCAAAGATTTGACAGCTGAGAATGTGTGAAAGAGTCAATAGTACGTAATCAAACTTGAAGAGGTCACAAACGGGCAAGCGGTCAGGCACAGACAGCTGTGACAGTTCTTGGGCAGATCAGCTCCCTGTAAGTCCCTATAAATACATCCCTAATCTAGATAGCAGAGGCACTGACGGCCCGCTAGACTGCGCTAGGATTAGACCTGGTCTGACCTGGCATCCGCCCCAATATTTCCCGCGCTGTCGGATTTTTTCAGCAATTCAGTCCACCACTTAGTCCAGTCCAATCATCAATCAATTAGGTACCAATTCCAGCCAAAACTCCATGCAATGCCGTCCGTGTCATGCCATGCATACATTTCGTTATAATCTTGCAGTACTCTCAAAAAGAAATCATTCGTCAATAGTCAAGCGCTCGTCTTCCGTTTCACCGAGACTGGCTTTCGAGACTTGATCGACTTGTCCAGGTAGTCTCCGCGCAGAGAGGTACCAGATCTGATGCGACGCTCACCCTGCTTCCATTTGCGAACAGGTGAAGTTTCTTCGAGGCAACTTGGCGCGTAGGTTTAGGCCTCACAGGCTGTTAAGCTAGTCAATATACAGCTGGAGGCTTGGACTTATGGAAATGAACTCACTGTTGAAGCGCAACTTGTCCCGTTAAAGCATGATGCACACGGACAAATGGAAGAGGAAGGGCTAGAAGATACGCTCCTCGGGGCCTTGATCTCGGCGCGCCACCACTCGCGGAATCCAGGACTTGGCGTTTTCGACATAGTATCAACGGCGGTTATGCGATTTTCTTGGCAGCTGGTGGGATATCTTCTATGATGGGAGGGGTTTTCTTTAAGGAAAAAAGAAGAGAAAATCAGAGCTGTAGATTGCCCACAGAGAGATACAGACTCTTTTGGGTTTCCCTGTTCGTCGTTCAAGTCTAGGTATTTTGACAACCTTGTGCAGCGAGCAGTCGACGTTTTATATCATGTGAGAAGGGTTCCAATGGGACTTTGAGGGATCACGATAGTCGGTTCGAAAAAGAAGGCAACTGTCTGAGACAAACATCTGACGACGTATTCAGGCGTCTTTAACTCAGGGGAGGCAACTGGGCTTTATACTCCCTCAACCCTGTCCTGTTCCTCGGCAGAGTAAATAATTCTCGCCGTCTGACCGAAGCCTGCCCAATGTCAAGCAAGGTGTAACATGCATAAGATAATCAAGCCGCTAAGGCTGAACCCAAATTCTTTTTATTCCTATAGTAGGTACTCTGCTTTATCTTGGTTTTCTAGCCTCCCGCCATGACACCTGAATGACAGCAAAGCTAGACCTCGCACTAGTATTGGTTATGCGGTCGTCCTCGCGGCGCTCAGCCCCTTGGCGCAACCCTAGGTACTGCCGGGAGGTTTTCCGGCGATGCATAGGCCACGGCTGCAAACTTGGCATAGTCTTGGGTATATTTATGAGGGAGCGTGTACTTCATGCTATCAACGCCTGGCCAACGAAACCAGTGCTCGTCTTTACCTCCTCTTTCCCAGTAGGCACATGCAGACCTGGACATGCTACCCGTTTTCTCCCGGTCTGGTGGCGACATCATCCTACCTATTACAGGAAAGGGGTTTACTTAAGTAGGAAGATATCCTGTCTGCCGGCTTGCCGGCCCCCACACCGAGCCTTCAAACGCGGGCGTCCGGTCGCAAACCCCAATCCTTAATAGCTGAGTATTGAGTGCACCGTATCATTTGTCTCAACGATTGACCTGTATGACACTTTTGATAACTAGGTATTCAATCTGCTATGAGCACGGCCATTTCAGCCGTTTTCATGAGACTTGCTCAAACCAGGCTCTAGACAGGTCCTACTTTTTCTCCACAGCGACGAGTTTACATGGTAGTGTAACTCCGGAATGGCGAGTATGACTCAGCGTTCATTGTTGAGAAATCCCCGATTCTTCTGACTGTTGTAGTATCACGTTGCTCATTCGCGTTTCGGTTAAAAAAAAACTTAGCAAATACTGGCTATATTTCGGCGTTCGGGTTCTTGACTACCTACTCACAATACCTATTTGTAGATCTACCATCACAGTCTTCTGCCAAAGAAGTATCAAATACTATCATACGACCATGTCTCGACCTAAAATGCATCCTTGAGAGTAAAAGAGGCTGCCGCCACACTTGCTCCCGCTACCTCTGGTTCGCCGACCCCCACCTTGTCATAAGACCTAGCAGTGCAGAGTGGCGTTACAGAACGCGGTCACACTATCTACAGTACACCCGCGACAACACACCACCTTCGATCATTTCCCTTACATGTGGAAACTACATCGCACTTCTGCTTCTCTCCTTGGGGGCAGCGAGTTTCGCCTCAAGCTAGGGTCAAGAACTCTTTTACGGCACGCTAGACATGATGCCTAAATAGAAGGCTCTATTGATCACTATTCATCACAGCCTACTTGCTGTCTGGGGGCTCAACTGGTGATGCGTTCTTGCGCATCGAGGCTAGGACTCGACCCCCAATACCTCTCTACATGACCAGCATAAGTATATATCCTAGCCCATTCGTATAGTAAGACACTGTGGGCGATTTTCAGTTAGTTGAGGGCATGCATGTCGTCTCCCTCTAACGAGTAACTTGTGGCGCAGCGCAATGTTGTGACAGAGTAAAGGTGAAGCCTGTCATACTCCGTCAACAGTGTATCTCAATTACCAGGGTTGCTTACCAAGCTGAACAAGGACATCCAAAGCTATTACTCATTCAGTCTGTTGTTACGGGACGTAACTTCTATAGCTCAAGGAGATGGCATAACGGATGCACACATCGGATATAATAATTTAGCTTTCGGAATATTGTTGGCTAGGTTACTTTGTCGGTTTCAGTGGGCTAGTGAACAGACTAGGTCAGCTGTCTCTAGTTGGTGATACCTCCTAGCAGATCACAACGGCAATCGCCTCAGTAGGTAGTGTCACCTAGATACCTAGTAGACCCAGATAGTCAATTATGGAGTCTCGCCAAATTCGCTCTTTGAGCCGATGTTGTTTATTTCAGGTCTATATATTCTCAGTGCGGTTGAGAGCTGCTGGGATAATGATTCCGGGGGGGGGGGGGGGGGGGGGGGTAGTCACCACACAAAGAAAATAAATAAAAAGGATACGATTAAGTTTTTGAAAAAATAAGAATC